AAAGGGCTCTGTCTTCTTGGCATTGAAACTTCAAATGAAGCTCTGTCTCCAAAAGGTTAAAGGAAAGTATGGTTTTTACAAACACATGACACAAAACAAGAAAATAATAAAAGGCAAGAGACCTTCAGTCAAAGAACAGATCTTATAATAATAAACTTGCACCATTAAATGAGTTGATCTCTTCTGTTTATTTCTTGCATTATGTAGAAAGAATTCTTCTTTTCATATCAGTTGTAAAATATATTCTGGATTTGGAAAGCTTGAATCTTCATGCCCACCAAAAAAGTATGTCAAAAGGCCAGTTTTTCATTTGACACCACTATTATTTTAAATACCTTCACTCAGTAATGTTCATTGTTTTAAAAAGCAATGATTTTATACTATTTATTTATTATATTGTTTATTGGAATGGTTGGCAAATATTGCGTAATTGCTCGATTTGAACATTATGAAATAGTAAGGATTTCCTTATAGTTGGTTCACGTATTTTAATAATTTAGTAAATGTTTATAATTTTGTGAATAAAAAATAGTTTTCATATTTCTTTCTTTATAAATTGCTAAATAATATTATATTGTACTAGTTTTAGTACAATTGTATTAGTTTTTAGAATGTTGTAAATATAAAATTATAAATAAACAATCTATTTAATGTTTTTGTTGTAATTCTCAAGAACAAAGAAAATGTATAAATTCACTTTCATATATTTAGGTTTTATCATTCTAATCATTGCTTTTTAAAATAATAAAAATTGCTGAGGAGTGAAGGTAGTTAAAATAATAGCAGTGTCAGAAGAAAAAAATTATTTTTGACACACCATTTTTTGTGGTTACGAAGGTTAAGGATTGCCCTGTATTTTTTCATAATAGCATTGCATAATATTATTCATTTAATATTTAATAAATCAGAATAACAATACAGTAAGTCATTAAATATTCAAAGATAATTTTCATTCTATCATTTATTTTTGGCAAAATAAAGTAGAAGGTAATCAAGGTTTTCAAAATGTCCAAAGTCTTAAATTATTCTTGAGAAAATAAAATCTGAGCTTCATAATTTAGGACAATGTTTAAAATAAAATTATATTTATTGTAGATTACACTTTAACTGTGTAAATTTAATCTTTGAAATCCATTTCTGAGATTGACTGAAAGAGATCTAAATAATTTTCAAAGAGAGCTCATGATTGTATTTATCTATGGAGATTTAAAATCAACATATTGAGTTTTGTAGTCTAAAATTCATTACAGTAAGTCTCCGGGTTACAACATTCCCAACCTATGAGGATTTGTGGTTACGATGCAATCATTGTTAACCTTGTTATCTGGTTGTATACCATATTGGATTGTTGTGCATTTGCTCATTTTTGTTTGTTGTGTTTGTGGAAACTTATTACTCTTCATTATGGCTCTCAAGTGTAATATAACTTCTTCTGATGGAGAAGCTTTAAAGAAAAGAAAAGCCATCACCATGTAAGTGAAATTATGGGTACATTCTGACTTATACAGAAAATTGGATTATGACATATAGAAACAGAACTCTGTTGTAAGTTGAGGACCGTTTGTATTTAATTTTTATTAGTGATTTTAAAACATATTTTTCAGTGCTATCTCACAGGCTTTTGCTAGAATTGATCCATATTAACTTATTTGAATAGAAAATTAAAAAAAGGTCCAGATAAAACAAAAATATGAGTATATAATATTCTTAAAATAATGACTTACAGAAAAGGGTTCTACCAAGCTGATGATCTTTTTCTTACAAGAAAATCATTCTAGGCAATCTTTTAAAGAAACAAGTACCAAGATCTGTAATGCGTCTCTTACGCAGCCAAAACAGTCACTAAAAAAAATTGATAAATGTACCAGGAAATGGCGTAGAGGTTAAGACAACAAACATTCATAGAAATAAAGTGTTCAACTGCCATATTTTCAAATGGTTATCAGTTTGTTAAATTAAATGAAGCTAATATTTTGATCAAATTGAATGGTTGTGTATGTTTTATCTAATAATCAAAATAAGTGGACACAAACTTTTTAAGGAAAAAAAAAAAAAAAGAAAGAAAATTTAATCAATTGAAAATAAAAATAAAAAATCTTGTAATGGAATAAAACAAACAGATCAAATTACAACATTTAAAGGACATCACAGAAATGATACTGGTAATGTTTATATTTGGTATGGCAGTGTTGAATAATAAAACAGGTTCTAGTGGCCTGTATTTTGTCAAGGAATCATGGAAATATAGTGAGCACCTCATTGCATCTGGGGAGTTGTTTCAGTCTTTTCTTTTTTTTTTGTTTTAAAGAAATATCTAAAAGCAAAGTTTAACTCTCAAATAAATGAAATAATAAAAGGCCAGTAGAAAGTTTGCTATTCAGACTGATTTACCAAAATATTTCTACTAAAAATAGAAATAGTGTTTTGACTCCTTTCCCACTGGGAGAGGGAAGATCCATATACATAAATGGTAAGTAAAAAGTCTAAGAAACAAATTTGCTAAAGGCTTTCATATACCTCGTCTCAAAATTACCATGAAATAAAAATATCCGTTATCTACAGATTAATGAAATTCATTAATATAAAAAAAATAATTAAAGAAAAAAAATCACACACATTACAAAATTATTATTTTTTTTTTATAAAACATGCATAATTTATTTTTCTAAAACATACATAACTATGTATGTAATAAATTTGTGTGTGAATTTTTTTTTTAAGAACATTTCTTTGTCATTCTAAAACAACTTCTATATGAAGGTTACAAACCTAGTAATGATATTGTTTGAAATATTGGGATGCATAGTTTGTTGAAAAAAAAAACAAAGTCATAAATCCACAATACATGTACACATGACTATACAATTTTGATTGTGCATGTGTACAAATATATTTTTTTTTTTTGCATATGTATATATTTCTGACATTACACATGAATATTTTTCCTAGCACCTCTTATTTTGTGTACAACACAAAGAATAAATATTGAAAAACAGTTCATACTTTTCAAACATAAACAACACGAGCAATAACTTTCATACCCGATAGACATTGCTATATTAATGCTAAAACCATCTTACAATATCTAAAAATACAAAAGAATTCTTTGAACAATAAATTGGTGAGCATATGTAGATTTGGTTATCTAATTAATCAAATATGAAAGTAAAACTTTGAGATTACTAATACCAGAATTTACCTATCATATTTTTCTAAGGTTTGATGACACTACTTAAATTATCTGGTCCATTTGTAAAAGATAGGGAAACGTTTTGGCAGGGGAGAATGATTTTTGCAGTATTCATTAAAACTTCCTCAAGCCACGACATTTGTCAGAGTTGAAAAATATTCATTGTTTTAATGATTTTAGAATTGGGGGTTCCTGTTCATAATATAAATACATTGTCAAATTAATTTCAAACTTCTTAAAGAGTTATTTTGAAACAGCTTGCATCATTGATAATTGCATGCTATTATGAACAGGGAAAAAGACAACACCAGTAGTACGGAGTTTCAAACTTGACATGTGTAAATAAAAACAAAGTATAGATAACTCTTTAAGAAGTCAGTGAGTGAATTGACACTATTTATATTATGAACAGAACACCTTTTTAAAGTGATAAAAAAAATAAAAAAAAAATCAATATTTTTGAATTCTAACAAATTTCATGGGTAGAGGAAGGTTTAATAAATGCTAATCTATAAAATTTGTTCAGACCTCCGCCCCCAATGTTTCCTTTTTTTTTTTTTTTTTATGAGTGGACCAATTAAGTAATGCCAATCCAATTGAAAATGTGTTTTTGATTCATTTTAACATGAATGTAAAATGGATACAAAAATTAATAAAAAAAAAAAAAACATCCAATAGGAAAAACAACTACCATCGTTGGTATGAAAATAATAAACACACTCCAACAAAAAAAAAAAAAAATAAGAGAAATAACTGGCTTCACGGGTCATTAATCATTTATTTATTTACCTTGATTGAGCTCTGATGAGTGAAGCGTGAAACGGATTAGGTCATTTCATTCTTTTTTTTTGGCTTCTTGTTCTGTGTGTTTCATACCAAGTACATTAATTGAAATTTTTACTATTGTTTAATTTTTTTTTTTTTTATTTATTATGTCTGTTTTTATTGGTGTAATAAAATTGTACCACAAATAAGATTATCAAAAAATGAGATATTACTTCTCAATTTAAAAAAAAAAAATGTAAGCAGGTATAAGCATTAATAGAGAAAGAGCCTGTCAGGTAAGTAATGTTGTGAGTATATGCATGCATATATATATATGTGTGTGTGTGTGTATATACATACACAAGGTGCAGCATAAATATTTATTTATTATTTAAACTTATTTTGAAATATAACTCTTTATAAAAGGTTTCAAATTTTGCTTAAGGCATTATTTAGTTTCATTGTTTACAGCGTAATTAAACATAGGTCAAACAAATGTGATCAAATTGCCGCATTGAAAATGGCTGGTATGAAGAAGCAATAAAACAATTGAATACTTGCAGAGAAACTGTTTTTTAAAATGTAGAAAAGGTTTCAAGAGAAACAAACAGCCTCACCAAATTCAATTCCAGGAAGAAACAATCCAATTCATACTAGGAGAGTCATTGAAGCTGTCAAGGAAAGGGTGAAGAGAAATCCACAAAAAGGCATAAGGAAGATGGAAAAAGAGCTGGATATTTTGGATAGGTTGTGGAAGAGGATTTAGCAATAAAACCAGACAAGACTCAATGACAACGGCTGATCTCAAGTGCCTCATAGAAAAAACGGCTGTTAGAGGAGATGCAAAATGCCACAGACAAAGTCGAGAAGTTCTTCATTGTGGTAGATGTGATAAACCACTGAAATAGGGTTTACACCACTTTGGCAGAACACACTCCAATCAAAAGAAAACAGCTGGTATCATGGTTTGGGCTGCTGTTACTTATGATGTTTCAGAATCTCCTTTGGTGTTAATTGAAGGAGTTGTGAAAGTGAATAGCAGCAT